CTTGTATGTAGGGGAGGGTTTAGCATTTCCGGGGTTCTGGTTCACCATTGGTCGGAAGTTTGTGTTGGTCTCCGGTGTCTCAGACAGTTTTCACAAAGCTGACCGGGCATCCGTTTGACAGAAATAACCGATATAAGCCAGATCTATTTTTTAAGTTGGTCCTCGCTGCTGCTGCGGTAACGAAAGGCCCGGTGGAAAAGTGTGCGATCCCAGCATCTTTTATGAGCTGCTGGATGGTGCTTTCGTAGTTAAGGATGACGTCAGCACTGGAGCCTCTTCCATCTGCACTCGTTGTGAGGCTACCACCACGTAGTTTTTGTACCTTCGCGTCTAGGACGGGAGGGTACCTCTCATTTCTTGTTTGCGAGTAAAATGATATTCAGCCTCTGATGCAGCTCCTCGACCTCGCGAACGCGGCTTCTACGGAGCTGTCTCAAGAATTACTGTCAATTCAATTTAAAGTTCTACCAATATGTTAAAGGCGACCCAATGGGTTCGACAATATCGGATCGGTATTGTAACAACAAGGAGGTTATGCGAACGTTTAGGCCAAAAATGTTATCATAAAGACCTGCAAAGTCGAGCAGTTGCGTCAGAGACTGGGTAGCGTTTTCCCTGCTATCTAGTTTATTCGCGTACAGGAGATAGCCCATCGTTCCTAGACGTCAAGATCTAAAAACGAAGCCTCGCAACGACAGTCCATCGAAAAGGCTCCAACTCCGACATCATCCACAACTACGAGAGCAAGCATCCTGCAGCTCATAAAGGAAGCTGTTTTCGCACCCCTTTTCACCGTGCCTTTCGTTATTACAACAGCTGTGTCCTGCCGAGAAAGGAACTCGCTTACTTGTATCACTTATTCCACTTCACCAGATGCTCTGTCAGCTTTCTAACAAACCGTCTCTTGTGTCTGAGGAAACTGCAAACTTCCGGCACTAATGGAGAGCCAGGGCCGCCGAAATTTTCTCTACCCAACCTGTAGGGTACTTCCGAAGCGATCCCCGGACAATTCAACGTGTTTGGCATCTCTAGTGCACACAGGCCGGCGTCGTGCTTGCGCGCAATGCTCTCCTGAGTGAAGGATCCATACCCAATGAACTACAAACCAATGTCATTTACCGCATTCTGTGTGCTGACACTTCTTGTACTTACGTTGCTCATTCAGGCCGACGGCTTTTAACGTATAGACAAACATAAGGTACCCATTCGCCGACGTGATCCCTTCCTACTCCTATATGCGCACGTCCTTGAATGCGACTACCGCTTCAGTTGAAACGAAACTGAAGTGGTTGCCATGGCTAACACCAAACATGCGCTATAATTCCTCGAGGCTTGGCACTTTAGCGCGACCAACTTTCGTCGACATGTGGATCTCGACTCCCATTACGGAAGCCTGCGTGCCCGGCTCACTGACTTAACCTCAGGACCGCTAGTTAATACTAAAGCTCTATTTTTGGGCCAGTAGATGGTCGTTGTAGACCAAGAATACCCTAACTACAGAAGTTGTGTCTTGCTCGGAAATTCCCAAATGCCACTCGTTAGAATGCAAGCTGATTAAGAGCCGGTGACCCGAAAATCCTTTACGAAGACACACAAACAGGGGGTCCCTAAAGCGGGGCCTGTGACCCATGTTGCGCAAAGGCCCATTTCATTCCCACGGACAGCCGCATACCCCAATGTGTGCGCTCTTCTTGCCCATCCTTCGACCGCAAAAATCTTCACTTCACTGGACGTCGATGGGCAGCCCGTCGGCACGAATGTTTGGGACAGAATCATTGCCAAAGAGTTGCTGGTGCTTTCGTAAACCTGAAGGTAAAGCAGCGGTTTGAATCCGTAAGACAGTCTACTAGTTGTCTTTCGCATGGCTACGGTACTGCCCATCGCAGTGTTGCATGCGCTGATCATCCCATCCCTACTCGCGCGAACCCCACCACCTTGCCTTTGCGATTATTGTGCTAATTGCTGCTGTCCTTACGTTGGTCATACAGGACCCGATGACTTGGGACGCGTATTAACGAACACACTTTAACCATCCGCCGACGTGGTCCCACTGCTA